GAGCAGTCCCCGGGGTGGTTTTACAGAATCACAGAATCTTCCAGGTTGGAAGGGACCTTAAAGATCATCTTGTCCAACCGTCAACCCGACTGACAAAAATAGACACCCACACAACAAACAAGGAGCATCATCACTAAACCAGACCTCCCAGCACTACATCAACCCGGCTTTTGAACACCTCCAGGGATGGGGCCTCAACCACCTCCCTGGGCAGCCCATTCCAAGGGCTGAGAACCCTTTCAGTGAAAAAATTTTTCCTAATATCCAGCCTGAACCTCCCCTGGAGCAACTTGAGGCCATTTCCTCTCATCCTGTCACCTGTGACTTGAGAAAAGAGACCGACCCCCATCTCTCTACACCCTCCTTTCAGGGAGTTGTAGAGAGCAATAAGGTCTCCCCTCAGCCTCCTCTTCTCCAGGCTGAATAACCCCAGCTCCCTCAGCCTCTCCTCATCAGACTTATTCTCCAGACCCCTCACCAGCTTTGTCGCCCTTCTCTGCACCTCGATGTCTTTTTTATGGTAGGGGGCCCAAAACTGGACACAGTACTCGAGGTGAGGCCTCACCAGTGCCCAGGACAGGGGGACAACTGGATTCTATTTTGCCTGGCTCCGCCGCTCGCCGGGGACGCCGCAGGAGCCGTGACCAGAGCGAGCTGCCACCGTGACAGCCAGAAAAAAGGGACAGTCTGGCTACAACCGAGATGCTACTGGTACCCTGAGCCTTCGTTGGATGATTCAGCCCCTCTGGGGGAGGTGGCAGCGTGGGCAGTGTCTGCTCCAGCCCCATCCTGCATCCACCTCCCTGCTCCAGCTCCCCAGGGACCTGACTCATCCCAACAGGAGCAAGCACAGACGTCAAACCCAGCAGGAGAGGCAGCAGCCCCTTCCAGAGATGCAAAAACACTGAGGGGAAGGCACCGGAGCCAGGTCTGGACCTTCTGGACCCTCCCCATCAGAGCCACTAAAACTTGGGAAGATCCAGCATCACCCATCCCATGGGAAGCAGATCCCTCCCGAGCCCTGGCTGCCCGGGGCTGAGCACCCCCAAGTCTCTGTGCCCACAGGACCCCTCTAAAGCCAACCTCCACGTTGACACCAGTCGTGGGTGCCTCTTCAAAAGCAGCTTTTCCCCAAAAAAAACCTGGGCAGGAGATCACCCATCCCATGGGAAGCAGATCCCTCCTGAGCCCTGGATGCCCAGGGCTGAGCACCCCCCAGGCTCTGTGCCCACAGGACCCCTCTAAAGCCAACCTCCACGTTGACACCAGTCGTGGGTGCCTCTTCAAAAGCAGCTTTTCCCCAAAAAAAACCTGGGCAGGAGAAGGATCCAGCAGGATGTGGCTGCCCCATCCCTGGAGGGGTTCAAGGCCAGGTTGGATGGGGCTTGGAGCAACCTGGTGTGGTGGGAGGTGTCCCTGCCCAGGGCAGGGGGTTGGAACTCAATGATCTTGAAGGTCCCTTCCAACTCTGACCATTCTATGGTTCTAAGTGCTTCCATGGAAGATCTCCAGCCTCTGGTCCCACCAGAGCTCCAGAAAAACCTCCCCGAAGAGCAGGGCTGCTCCACAGCAAGGACCTTTTCCTTCTGGTGTTTCTCTTACCTACTGCTCTGACACTTTATCTCCCTCAACTGACTCGGCTCCTTTAAGTTTCCTGCTTCCAAACTCCTCGCCAGCCATTTATCACCTTTCCCTTTGGAGTTTTCCTTGCAGTAAGAAGCACTGAAAAGAAATATACAACCTTATTGTTTGCTTGTTTTTCCAATACAGTGAATTTATTATATGTTGCAAAATCAGCATTCAGCTTTTTTAGTGTACAAAAAAGACACTAGCTCTTAAGAAAAAAGATTAGGAAAGCTGAAGACTATGCTGCCTTTAAATTGTAACATTTTGGCAAAGTGAAAAGCTCTTTTGTAAACTCCAACTCCATGGCTCAATATAGTTTTTATCCACAGTACAATATTACAAAGTAAAACACAGTATCAATAAGTTAAGATCATACTTAATCACCTAGAACTGGTTTCTATTAACCCAAAAAGCACAAATTTTGCCTAGCTTCATAATCTCTAAAAAGGAAAAAAAAAAAAAAAAAGGAAAAAAAATAAAAAGGCAGATTCGACTACAATTCTTTAAACACAGTCCAAAAGAAAAGTGAAGCAGAAAGTTGTTGAATGCTAATTGGGTCTCACAGTTTGGATATTCATTAAATATCTTCAGTTTTTATATTCAAATTTTAGAAGTTCCAGAATATACATGTAAATGTACACAATACATCTTTGTATACAACTCTGTTTGCAAAAATATCTTATAGCAGATGTATAAAGATTGAGATCCATCTCTATCCCCCTCCCCCACCCCCCCCTTCCAAAGCAACGAGAAAACAAAAAAAATATATATCCCAGTCAAAATATTAAGGATCAGAAGGAGAAGTGTTTCCATGGAAGAATTTACTCATCCTGGGTTTGTAGCTGCTGCCTCTTCTGCCAGCAGAGGTTCGGGCTCCTCACGCTGCAGTTGGAGATGATGAAGGTCCCACCGAGCCCCGCAGAGATGATGAGGAAGGTCCCACCAAACCCTGTGGCATCGGGAAATTCAGCCTTGCCATTGAGAACACCCAAAATGTGCCACCACCAACGGGTGACAACACTCACAGGTCTGGCACCGAGTGGGGTTGTTGGGGTGACAGATCTCCCAGCAGGTCCCAGAGAGCAGCGTCCCTGGTTCCTCCACGCAACCCAAGTCTCTCCTTCCCCCATCCTTGGGGCTTGGGTGAAATCCAGCTCAGGTGCAAATTCCCAGCCACGGGAGGTTTCCTGGGGCTGTGATTCCAACAAAGGCTCCAGCTTGGACATTGCCACCACCTACTGCTTAAGATGCTCCAGCGACCAGACCCCACCGAGCAGGAGGACAAAGTTTTCTGGAGAAGAAACTCCTCGCCTTCAACTCTGGTGTTATTTTCCAACTTTCCCTGAGGAGCAGGAGCACCGGGGGCCGGCAGCGTTCCACAAGTGGGTATGCCCTCAGGAGAAACAGCTCCCTGACCTTCGGTTGTCTTCATCTGGAGAAGAAGAGATGGGACCGAAGCGTTCCTCAAGCCCCAAGATGCTCATCAGAGGCTCCCACCCTACGGACCTCCTTGGACATCACATCTCTTCCCTCCCATGGCCTCCACCGCTCCGCTTCCCAAGGTTTGGCTCTTGCAGACCAGCAGAGACCCCGTGGCTGGCTGGTGGCAGTCCGTGGCCCACGGGTGGCACAGCTGGGCCACCTCCCGTTGGCTTTTTTTTGGTTTTGGTTTGAAGAAGGGGGATGGCAAAGTCCTGGCGAGCGAGAAACTCACAACTCAGCAAGTGACAACGCAAAGCGGTGGCCCTGGCCGGACGACGCAGCAAAACCCATCTAGCCAGAATGGAATTATTAATAATATTATATATTTTTTTTTTCTTTTTTTTTTTTTTAAATACAGCAGATGGACCCACTTTTTTTGGGGGGGGGAAGGGCGGGAAAAAAAAATAAAAAATAATTAAATTACTCCTTGTGTAAGAACTGTTTCCCCTCCTTAACACTGCCATTCCGCTCCTTCAAAGGGTGAAAGACTCTTCAGTGCAACCTCCAAGGGAAGGAGACGCCACAGGAAAGTAATCCTTTACTTTGAGATAAAGCAGGAAGAAGTCAAATCACACAGGGCTGGCAGGATTAAAAGGGGAGAGAAAGAAACAGCGGAGTTAAAGGACACCTTTGTGCTTTTTGGCGTGTTTCTCACACCCTGGCCATACTCTAAAAAAAAAAAAAAAAAAAAAAGGTTCCCTTCAAGTCCAAAAAAAAAAAAAAAAAGCCACCAAAAAAAAAAAAAA